AGCATCTGCCGGAAGCTGGACACCAAAGACTCTGCGTCAGCCGTGTCCAGAAGGGCATAGATTCTCCGCCGCAGCAACAAATCAATGTACACCGAGGAGGCAATGTTGATGGCTATCATAAAGAATTGACTGATGAACAAGGATCCCAAATGCACACTTGATGGCTCGAAAACCACAAAGTAGACCGACATTTCAGCGAGGGTAAAGATAAATTGAAAAGGAATGGAGAATCCGGGGTCCAAAAAGGCCACTATCAGGGCGAAGCGGGTAACCCAATGAAAGCCTTGCCAGACCGCAAATTGGAATCCAGTTTCAGACGCCCCAGAAGCCATGATGAGTACAATCTGCATGGTATGCATTAACCAAGTCAGGAACTTTAGTCGCTCAGGTGTCAAGTTCACCAAGTTCTTCGAGACGATGACATGCTGCGCATAGGCCACGACAGAACAACCTGCGAAGGCGACGGAGTCGAGCCGGCATGCTAGAGCAGCATGCAAAACCAGGCCAATACCTGCCAGAAAGGTGATATGAGAAAAGCAACGCGTGATGAACTTGTAGTTGCTCTGGCGGATCTTTATCATCTCTTCCTCCACCCGGACATCCTTCAACACATCCACCTGTTGGCGTGGTGCGGCCATAAGGGACTCGATCCATCTTCTCAGGTCTCCCAAGTCTGACGTAGTGAGGCGCAGGTGCAGCAGCCCCCAAGCGAGCACCAAGGTTGACGCTGCAACCCAACCGTCCATGGCGTCCTTCAAGAGCCCCAAGATCTGAAACTGGTCTTGGTCTTTTTGCATTGAATTCTAATTCTTGTTTCTAATAGCTTCTTGTTCCCAGTAGCGATGCCAGGAGCCCCCAGTAGCATCCTTGCTCCTATTAGCGATGCCCTCTGCTCCTAGTAGCGTCTTGCCTAGTGTTTGCACCTTGTTTCACTGTGTAGATTTGTTTGCTCTCTATGCGTAATAGAACACCTGAGGTGTCCTGACAGTCCGTAGAGCCGTTCACTTGACCACGCAAGAAGATAGGGATTTGACCACGCGATGTGAGCACGTGCAAACATGCCAACGTGTTGCCCTGAAGCAAATTCCAGTGTCTGTCCTGACTTCCAAACATTGAACATGTATGCTTCACAGGGACCTTGTCTCGGCTCCTGACACTGGGCAAAAGCCGAACCTCTGGTACTTCTGGGATGGCGGATCCTCCAGGTCCGTGAACCGGAAAACCGGTGCGTCCGCTTTTCGGTCATCGGTCCACAGCCCTGGTGACAACGGTCCTCCACAGCGGTCAAGGGGAATGACCTCGACCTGAGGAAGGTGAAGGTGAATTGCCAACACTCTGATCAAGGGAGTGGTTGAAAAGCTCGTGAGTCGCCCTTGAGTCTCTTGATTTCACAGAAATTACTGCACTTTGCAACATCAAAGTGTCTAGAAGCATCGCTTCGTTTGTGGGCCATTAAGCTCCTGGTCCCACCAGGTGTTCGATACCAAAGGCCTGTTTTCAACAGGGAGTAGCTTAGGATCATAGTGATTTCAGATGTGACCCAGTAAGCGCCCCCCCGATTCAGTTCGTTCCAAAGAATTAAAGCTCGGAGCAATAAAGCGATTTGGTGATTCAAAGCATATCAAAGCATCTTGCTGTTTCTATTCTAGCTTTGCCAGCTAGTTGCCAGACTGTAGTCGCTCAGTTGGCATTCAAGTGCTAGCTTCCGAGGTTTGCTTTTGGGAAGTCATGTTGTTTGTCCGATTCTCAGCTACTGGGTGAGCGTCGATCAAAGTGATGCACCGGACATGCGTGAGCACAGACATGGCCACAGCTCAGGTCGTCACTCTTGAGATCGAATGCTATACCTTGGTCCATCTCAATCGCCATACAAATCTGTGCAGTTTGGGGAATTGGGTGGATTGGGTGGTTCCACTACCTGTGCATCGTGTAAATACCGATATGGACACTCCTTTGTACGGAAATGTAACATTGGGGGCTGGAACTGCGCCTAGACACTTTGCATGTGTGTACGTGTTCCTGTGTGCATCGGATGTCGATGTTAGAGTCATGCAAGTGCAACAGTGTATTGAAATATTGAGCAAGACTGATTGAAATGAAAACAGCTCTGTGTTTTTGGCGTCTTCATCCAGCCCACAGTTTTGCTTCAAGGACGCTGTCAACGTTGCTATGTAGGAGAACCCTGGAACTGCAACGTTGCCAAAAGAGGATTCATTCTAACGCAACAACTTGCTCGTTTGACACCAACTGTGACCGCGGATAGTGCTGCTCTTGGTGACACGGTCTTTGTGCATACTGTATCCAGAAGTTTCCTTGGTTGGGTTACTCCGTACGTCAGGTGAACATGCACCAAATGAACGTGATACAGTCGATGAATGTCCATGATGCCAAACTCACGAATCCCAAGACAAATTGCTGCAGACCACCTCGAGCCACCAAATAATCTGGGCTCGCCCAACTTCAGTGGATGTTCCACCAGCTTCTCTGGGCCTCGAAGCAGGTGGACGGTGGCTTTCCACCCAATCAAACAAGACATCGCCTTGAGCAAGAATTGTTAAGTTTCTATGAGAAGGCACCAAAAAAGCTGCCTCTCTGGCAGTCTGGCAGGTATCAATAACAGTCCCACACTCACAAACAACAAAAAAGAAGCTACAACTACAACTCTTCTTGGATGAAATGAATGTTTACTGTCTGATCCTTCGGATCGCAGGTTCATCAAGTATACAGTATCCTGTATCCTTAATATGTGTATGTATATGTATATCAATATATATATATATTACTTGTAACACTATATCATAAATGTATACTATATATATACACAACACTATATTGATCTATGCTGTACTGTATGCATGTCTATATATAGTACACTATGAATCATTCCAACATATCTAATCATATCCGATCGGCCCTGCATCTGAAAAGATGTGTGGCCCCGGCGTTGCGTTGTAGCGATGCGGAATGCAAGCTCGTATTTGGAGACGGAGCAAGGCAGCAGCACTCCTGAGGGCCAACACCCTAGGTTGGAGATGTCAAAGAGACGTCCAAATTCCCAGATTTGCAATGTTCAACATGTTTTGTTTGACCCTGGTGTTGGCTTTGAGATTCCAGAAATGTCCATGCTTTCCTTCTCGATGGACTGGAGGAGGACTTTCAATGGCGTTTTTGGCTACCGTGTTCTTTTGCTGTCAGATGTCTTTTCCTCAGACCAATGATGACTGTGACTCAGACCTGGCCACAGCAGCGCAGCAAGGTATCACAACCTGCTGGGGATCCCCTACGAACCAGGAAGCGGTCGTGGAGGTTGAAGACCTTGCAGTGCGGTCAGGGTCGATGCTGAAGACATGTCCAAAAATCGTGTAGCACAATGGGAGATGAATGTCAAGAGAACGCTCCCAACCAGGTCATGCTGCCTATATATGCAATGTTTCCAAAAATGACACAGAATGGTCTTAGACGAAGGATGATCCTTGCCAAGGAGCTCCCAAACTGACAGGCAGCAGCCCAGACAAACTAAGTAGTTACTGGATGGTCGTGCTGCTTTGGATCAACAAAACCATGGCATGTCCATGCCCACTGGCTGAAAACAATGTCATGAGAAGGTGTCATGACAGACAGTTGTTCTTCTATTATCCTTTATAGCCCCAAGTCCACAGTAGACCAAGATACAGTAAGTACTCCAAACTCTGAGGCTCCCACCATAGTGGCTCGTTCCACCTTTATCTTCCCATCCTCAAGCGGGAAAAAGGATAAAACTTCTGCGCAGGAGGGGGACTTGGACCCCAAGTCACCTGAGCATGACAAAGGAAGTTTTTGCACTCTTATTCGGTATTCGTCTTGCGATGGAACCTGGCGACAAAAACCATCTCACTTGTTTTCTTGCCTTCCAGAAGTACTAAGTGGTGTTCAAGTTCCAAGAGAATTATATAGCATTGGAGGAAAAAGACCTGGCATCTTCGAGACAATTCAACAGTTTGCAAAATCCACCAGTCAATGCAAGTCAATCCTCCACACCCCCTTTTGTCCACACCGAAACGGGTTCCCCGGACGGATCTCTGGAGCCGAAGGCAAGCGTCAAAGGTGGCCACCTCGGCGCAGGGGTGGGAGGTGTTGCTTGAGCAAAGCATTCAAATAGTATGCAAACCTACTAGCAATGGCCTCCAACCTACTAGCAAACTATATCAGACCTTCAAACCTGCACAAATGTCTAGTCAAAAAGGCTGCATCGTGAAGAAGGTCAAGAGTGAGGATGGAACCCCTGCGCAGTAGAAGAACATGGAGAGCTCGATGTCGTCCGTCTTGAACTCCTGCCACATGACCACGGGGCAACCAGTGCCTTCTCTGGAGTCTGCCGACTTTACGATCTTCAAACGGACTGCCGATAGATGAAAACCATCGCTGAGGTGTTCAAGTCTTCCTAAACCGATTTCGGGCCATCAACTATATGCGCCAGCGGTATTGTCTTTGCGGTCGTGTGCAGTAGAGGAAACAGCCCAAAAGCACTTCTCTGGTGAAGCGGCGCGGTTGAGATCTCAACGGGTTGAGTATGTTTGAATTGAGTGCGTTAAACTTGAGTCTAAAGATTGGTTCCAGAGGGGTTGCAGATCAACCACTGGGAACTTCCAAGTTCCAAGTGATGTCAGTCAATGCTGTGGGTGAATGTGTGCAATTGGCAGAAGTCTGTGCCTGACAACGAGTGAAACAGTTCGCAAGCAACGGCCAGAGAGATCAATCATCAACCTATTCGGTGTCAAGCCCCGTCAAATGAAACGTGAAGCATCAATCAATGGTAAATCAGGATGGGGTTCTGTACCAACCTGAAGGAACATCCCTTTATTTCTCCTCCCAAGAAAACCCCCCTCCTTCGTGAGGTGCGAGAGCGGCCGAAGATCAGGGACCGTGGAGCTGGGCACCGAGAAACCTTCCCGTCGCGTCAACGAAGCCGAAGACATCTCCGAAAGTCTTCGATGTACGGACCCGTGGTTCTGACGTTCTGTTTCCTTCTTCAAGCGCCGGTCCACACGCGGCGATGGTGGTGCCAAAGCGCATCTAAGCGTTCTTTGGTGCCTGAAGTGAGGCCCAACAGCAACTGCTGACTAGCGGGGCAATGTTTCTGCACATAGGCAGCAAAATCAGAATCCAGCATCCAGGATTCCCACTCAGGAAGAGCTACGTTGAGTGGCAGCCCACCTGGAGGCAAGAGAATGGGAGGCGGGGCCAAGTTGCCGCCCAAATGACCAAGCTGGCCATAGTGATTTCTTGCTTGGGGCAAGCTGAAAGCCTCTTGGGTCTGTGAAAAGGCTGGGAAGGCTGTGTGCGCGGAGGTCGGTGGGAAGGCTGGTGGAATGTCCTGCCTGGAAGGCTCCTTCGGCTCCTTGCGTTCAGCCAAACGCCGCTTGGGGATGGCCGAGGCATTTGGAGAGGTCCTCTTACGCTTTTCAAATCCACCTTGGGTCGGCGCTGGTGGTGTTGGGAACGGCTGCTGTGGAAGCTGTTGGATCTCTTTCTGAGTCAGTCCCACCTCTGTATCTGGGATGTCCAGCTGCTGCAATTTCGCCGCCATGGCTGCCTCGCGGTCAGCAAAGTCCACCAGCTCAAAGCCCAGTTGTTTCTGGAAAAAGTCCAGATGCTCGGCCTCTTCTCCCGCAAAGACCAACGACACCATCCAGCCCACAGACCCAAAGCGAGCCGTCCGGCCGCTGCGATGCAAGTAGGTCTCCTTCTCCACCGGCAAGTTGAGGTTCACCACCACGTCGACATTCCTCGGACTTCAACCCTAAAGTATCTCACCTACGGGACAAATATGAACAAATCCTAGGAAGAAAAACAACCAACACTGTGAAAAAGAGTTCTGCGCATGACGTTGCAGCCGAAATTCTCAGCATCAATGCCACGTGCCATTAGATCGGTACACACCAAGACACGATACTGGAATCGCTTGAGCCCTGCAAAAGCTTGCGTCCTCCAGGATTGTTCCATCTTCCCACCACTTGCAGCCGCAGGCACTCCGGCCTGATTCAGCATCTCAGCGATCTGTATCGCATTGTTGGAGTCTGCCACAAACACAAAAGCCTGCTGATAGGAAGCTGTTGTCAGGACTTCCAACAGTGCAGGCAGTTTCTGCCGCACATGGTATCCTTCTAGAACGTAGCGCACATGAAGCACGCCTTTAAGTAAAGCGGTCTCGGCCTTCTCACCATCCTGATCGAGCTCGTCGATGTTCAAACCATCTTCGTCTTTCTTCACAGCCGATGTACACAAGAACACCTTGTGAGGAAGCTCACGCTCGATGGGCTGCCCGCGAGTGGCGTGCTTCTTTTCCACATGAACAAAGAGATCTTCAGCTATGGCGACCAAAGGTGGAGGGAAGGTCGCTGAAACCGCCAGGAATTGAAGCTGCTTGGTGAAAACCATCTCAGTAATGGCAAAGATGTCTTGCCTGAAGTAGGAGTCCAGAAGCTTATCTGCCTCATCCAAGACCAGGAAGCGTGCATCCGTCAAGAGGATGCCATCTCTGAGGAGCTTCAAGGTGCGACCGGGGCTGCCAACGGCCACATGTGGCGAACAGTTCGAAAGGCGCTCCTCGTGCTCTTCAATGGGGACACCACCAATGAAACAGCCGACATCCACCGGTGGATCCAAGTACCAGCCCAGTCGGCTGAGCTCATCGGAGATTTGCATGGCAATCTCACGTGTGGGAGCCAAAATCACCGCTTGTGAAGACCCGGCAGTAGAAGTGTCAATGCCCTCCAACACCACAGAACAGAATGCAATAGTCTTCCCTGTTCCAGACTTGGCTTGTATGATCACGTCTCCACCACCAAGGGCCAATGGGATGCTGTGTAGCTGCACCGGCGAGGGATGTTCACAGCCCATCTCCTGCAAGCTGCGGAGCAAGCTCGTGGAGAGGGAGAGCTCTGCAAAGGTACACTGCTCAGTCTTTTCATCTGCCACATCGCTGGTCTTAAAGCGCGGCATGGCAGTCGCAAGCAACGTGTGTCGGTGTGTCTCGAAGGGGTGAGTGTGCAATGTACGTGTGTCTGTCTGTGTCTGTCAACGTGCGTGAGAAAAACGAATGCAAACATGCACCTTCATGCGCGCCAACATGTTCTGCATCCTTTGCATCGTGGCTTTGGAAGGTCCTCCACGCCACCAAGGACTACTGAGTTTGATTGAAGAAACGCTCTGAGAATCAATGGCTTGGGTCCGATTTCTGCAGTGCGTTGATGAAGTCACAGGGTTCTGAACTTGCCTTTCACCTAAGGCAAGGCTGTATACCCACAAAAATGGCTGAGAGCTAGGGGACACCTCCTGGTAGAGATACCAAGCATTCAAAACAAGTGAAGATATAGAAAAAGAAACACACCAGAAGCATTGGCGTTCGAGTTCTTCTCGGTCACCAGGCTTCGGTGCAACGGAGGCAGTGCTGCCTGGCTGACAGGACGCTGTTGAGCCATTCCAATCCACTAATGGCTAACCCTCAAGCCACTATATGTTGAGCCGGAATCAGAGCAGTACAGCAGTAGTTTTTTTTGAGTTTGCAGATTGAATCCTGAGGGCAAGGAATGTGGTAATGTCTACCAGTCTACTGCCCGCTTCTCAACGAACCACAGTGAAGCTCTATTGTGAACTGTAGTAATAGCGGAAGCTCAACCTGACAGCTAAGACTTGCTTCCGAGGATTGGATACGGAGAAAACAACATCCTCTTGGACGATGTAATTAACAGCAAGAGCATTGATCCGCGATGGCACCATTCTGAACAGGAAAGTAGCCTTCCTCTGTCCACCTTCTGACCTCCCTGTTTTGAATCCCCACCTGGAAGGGCTGGATGTTCCCAAACAACTCGCAAAATGTCTGCACTTTCTCAAAGAACTCATGGTCCTGCCCAGCGCGGTCTTCGTGACACGAAACTCTCCAAATCAGATCTATGGTGGTATTCTGGATTTGTGGATCCCAGAGGGTTGTTCTAAGTTGGTCACCTAGTGAAGACATCCTGTCACGTTGGACCCTTGGTTTCAACAAGTCTTGAAATCTACTTCTGAAACGCTGGCCTCGACTGTTGAAATGAAAAAACCTAGCATAATGAATTGTCAGACTGCGACAAGTGTTGAAGCTGGGATGGGGCACCACGAACCCATACAGAAGCACTGCGAAAGAGTCCATGCCCATCCCCCGTTCAGCCTGCCATTCCAGTTCTGCACAGGTGCGGAACTCATGGAAGAAGTGATGCCTGTCTCAAGACGCAGAACGGGGTAGTTATTTGACTCAACTGCCCCGCAAAACTAAAAGGGTCTTGCGTCTTGGCAACGCGGCAACACCCAAGTTCTGCATAGTTCTGAAGGACTACCATGGCTCACGTACTGGAAAGATCTTGGGAGTTTTCCTTTCCCGCTTTCCTGTATGTGTAGTGTGTTTTTTGTATGTGTATAAGCAGAAAAGCGTCCTTTCCGCCACTGCGACCAGGCAATGCTCAAGCTTGAGGGAACCCCAAGGAACATGGGCACGCTCGGTTGCATTCTAATACCTGTCTCCGACCAAAGAAAACTTCCAGAGAACACCTGCTTTTGCCAACAAAAGAATGCACGCTCAGAAGCGGACACTCTCTCAAGGACCCACAACCTGCCCAGTCCACGCACCAATTGAAACGTGTAGAATACACAGAACACCCAACCTGCCCAATTTGGTGCCCTTTGGCTTCTTTAACTGCTCGTTTTCTACTCAGCGTTGGCGCGCGTGATCTGGCGCTGTACCGTGGCAAAAGTTCGACCAAAAGAATTTGTAAAGGCGGACGGAGGCAGTCAACTCTAAAGGGAAATCCAGAAGTAACACTGACGCCCGAGCAACATCCAAATAACCCCAGCCGTCTCGGAATGAATCCTTCCAACTACCCAAAGTCCAAGTTCGTCTACCTTTCGGGTCTGAGCACACTCGTGCGTTTGCACCGCCTCGCCTCAAACTATACAAGGAGAGACGTAGAGATGAAACCCCAATTGGCGGGAGGCATACGGAGAATGTGGCCACAAAGCCAAATCCAAAAGGACAGAAAGAAAGCGTGAAAGCGGTGCATTGTGCAAGGCAAGGCTTTGTTGGTGAGACGTTGAAGCCTTGGTGGTTTCAAGGTGCAAAACACAACCCTTCTGGTGAGATCAAGGGTGGGCCACGCTAGGTCCAGCGGTAGCCCACCAATGGGGGCGGTCACATGCTTTGGTGTAGTAGCTTCCTGCTACTAGTAGTAATGGCCTGTACAGAGCACCGAGGCTGATGAACAGCTTCATGAACTGCCGGACAGGTGTGAACCACCAGGGCCCGTTGAGAGCGCACACCTTGGCTGCTCCTTTGAGAGAAGCAGCATGTCCGCCCCGTGGGTGCTCATCAGGCCTCAATGTCTTGCTGCCTGAGTCTTTTGGCCCTGAAGAGCGTAGAAATCTTTTCTGGAACAGAAGTTCCCTTCGCTATGCTCCTGCGCGTATTGACTGAGCAAAACCTCAACCCGCAGGCCCTTGGAAGGATACTTCGAAATTCTGCAAGGCTCTTTGCGGAACTGCCGCACAGTGCCGGGCATTCTGCATTTTGCGGCTAATTCTCCAAAGGTGCAAGGCCATCTCATACTTCCATTCCTTTTTGGGGCCCTTTTTCCAGCCACTAGTGGCAAGGACGCTACTAGGTGGAGGCCATCGCTACCAGGGTGGAGGCAATTACTACTAGTAACAAGAAGCTACTAGGCGCTCCTGGCATCGCTACTAGGAGCAAGGACGCTACAAGGGGCTCCTGGCTTTACTAGTAACAAGGACGCTACTAGTAGCTAGAAGCTACTAGGTGGAGGATACATGTCTAGGTGGCTATCACTCACGCACCACATCTCGGCCCTTGATGCTCCGTCTTCGTCCCCCCGTCATCACGCGAGCCTATTCGCCTGGGTATTCGTATCTGTGTCCTGAGTAAACAATCTCCAATAGTCCAATAGTTGACACCGGTCATACCTTTGATTCTGTAGCCATCCTTCATTGTCCTTTCAACTGACCCAAGGGTCCCGGGGCCCGGCCTTACAGTTTTTTGTTATGTTTAAAGAGGTTGCTCTTTTTTGGAGTGCCACTCTGCTATCTTTGGCGTCTGAACCCTGTGCACCCCCAACAACCCTTCCCACCTCTGGTTGCTGCCCCGCAGGCCGCGAAGCTCCACCTTGCAATCCGTTGTTTTCGAACAACCCAAGTCCGACGTTGGTGCTCGGAGGGGCCAGGTAGGAGTACGTTGGTCAAATCACGTGACTCAGACTTAAACCTTGTTTTTGTCGACTTTGTTGAACCAATGGCTCTTGCAAGAAGCCTTTGTTACCAGTGTTGCATGGGCTGTCACAATGGTATGTATTAACTTGGCAAGCCTTAAATGTCACAATGGTATGCGAAACACAAACTCTACCTCTTGGCCAGTCTGAGGGGTCTCGCCCAATGGTCTACAGCGCCTGGGATATTCTACACAAGAGAGACTCTTGGGCCGGGTTGTTTTGGCTCCAATGTTTCGGCTGCGAGGCTTTCTTGTGGGGTCGGCCACCTCCTCGGGTCCCCTTCTTGCGAAGACCTTCTGCCCATATGTCGAAACCTGATCCACATGGCTTGCCACATCTCAATTCAAGTTCCCATGACCGTTGAACCCACGGGGTCTGCCTCCAGTTGATCTCCCTCGCAGAGCCGTAGGAGCTGAGGACCTCAAGACAGGAGATGAAGACACTGGGGATACCACTGGCCCGGAGAGATTTCGATTCACATCATGGACACCCACCTGGAAGAGCCACATGCGTTTCGGTTTTGCGGGTGGGAGATGTGATGGGCTGGGTGCGAGTATAGCTAAAATGACGTGAAACTATGGCATCAGTGAACTCTGTTCCTTTCTCAGCATAGAGAGGGAGAGAGAGCGCGCAATCCGCAGTACAGAGTTGTACAGGTAAGCTATGATAGTTGGGAAGCTGAAACTGCCTGAGGTCCGGCCAGTGCCGGGCCTATGCCATGTTGCAATTTGTGCGAAGCAAGCCCCGATGTTCAAGGAAGCATCGCCCCTCCAATCACCGCCATCTATGAATCAGTACAATCTTGGGCAGGGGCCGCCCGCATCTTCCCTCCCAAAGACATCTGGCACCATTGGCCACTTGGCCGGAAGAGGCGCCGGGCGGAAGAGGATGCAAAAGGAGTTTCCCTCGGCGGAGCAATCGCAGGTCAGGAAACTCAGCGGCAGCTCCTTCGGCAACTCTGCACGGTTCTTCCACAGCGACTGGCGACTCAGGAGGTTCTAGGGTGAGGGTGTGTGAGTGTGTGTGAGTGTTACTGGGAGGTTCGGTGTGAGCTTCGTGGGGCTCGGGTCTGTTTACCTCCCCAACAATCATGGAAGGGGACAACCCACTCTTGGTAGAGGAAAATAGAGGCCATTGTCCACAAGGACTTCGCAGCAACTGCAGCCAAACAAATCCTCCAAACGAATCGCATCATATGGCGCATCCTCTGGCAACCTCAGCTCAGAGCTGGAGAAGAGGGTACCTGATTTACTCACAATCCCTGAAGAAGATGTCAGCAGAAACGCATGGAGACTAGGCATGACTAGGCTGACTTCACAGGAGCAAATTGCCGCAGGTGTAAGGTTTAAGGACCCAGTTCGAGAAAGAAACAATGAACTCGACACATGCGGGCCCTGCAATCCACTTCTATACACCAAAGCCCAGCACAACCAACCATCCAGCCTTAAAGAGCAACCTGTGGAGGTATTGAAAGATTCAGACAACCCTAAAGACCTCTGGGCAGAAGAAACATTGTAAAATAGACTGGCAGTCTCCCTAGCAAGCCCTTTTCGAACACACACTCACGTCGATGTGAGATACCTCTCAAGCTGAGCACCCCGCCACAAGCTGTTGTACTTAGAGGCCCTTCGAGAACCCCCCGGCGGCGGAAGCCGTGCCCGCAGCAAGCGCACACGCCACATCCGCACCTCTTCCGACCAAATGCAAAGTACAAATGACCCCACAATGACTTCTGGCCTCC